AATTGTGTTTAAGATAAAATGAAAGCCTTAATTTGTAACCAAGATCTTTTAGACTGCCTGTCTCATTTTAATTTCATTTCAAATCATAATTCATTAAAAATATACATGATGATGCAAGTATGTTTGTTTTTTTTTAAAAAAGCATTGATTTTTCAGCTGCCAAAATCACCCCACGCAGCAGTATCTCTTAGTGTGTGTATACACGTGTATGTATTTTCCAGTGTAGCTGTTGGGCTATTCTAGCTTTGCAGCATGCTGAAATCTTACTGGCAAAATCTCTGCGGGCTGTGGCCAGAGGTTCAGTATGACCCGAATCATCCGTGCACTCAGCTGTGACGGCAGAGACACGCGGGCTGCATGTGTTCCTCAACGCTCCATTTTCCTCCTGGTTGGCTGCCGGACCAACAGTGCACACATAAACTACATAAAAGTCCTGCATGTGCTATCTGCTAATTAAAATAAGTGTACTCCTGCTGTGGAAATCCCTGTGGCCTGGAAATTTTTATTAGATCATCTTTTCAAAGTATTAATAGGACACTTTTTTTTTTGGAGCTGATAGAAATACGAAGCAGATCAATAATTCATTCTCTACATTTAGGATGCTGTTTTAGAAGCAAGTGAATCATTTCACTCTAAGACTATGCCCACTAAATACATTAAGTAAGAAACTGCCTGAGCATGTACATCTGAAATGACTGAACAATGAAATACAGAGATTGGGTTACTCTCCTGGCCGGGTTTGGACTACAAAGAAAACTGACATTTAAAATAATATGGGGGGCAATGCAGAGACACGTGGATGCTCACCAGTTTATTACTGCCGTCAGAACTGGGGATTTCATCGGGTCACAGACATGACTCACGTGGTGCATCTGTCCTGAGTATGGCTTTTCTGCTTCCGATCAGACGCTCACCCAGCAGGTGCGTGCGTTCGCTGCCTTCCCAAGACACTCTGTGCTCACTCGCTGTGCCTCTGCGCACACCTCCCTCCCCTCTCAGTTCCTAGGCTGGATGGCACTGAAAAGCTTGTGCTGGTTTTCAAGGCAGTCTTTCAGCTTATCCTCTGTCAAAGTCAGTCGCTGCTCCAGGATTGAAACAGTCTGCAAAAAAAGAGCACAAAAGCATCAATGCGTGGTAACCCGGGGAGGGCAGGCGGGACGACAATCACGCTTTCGGCACAGGTGATCCTTTCAGAACTGGGTCGGCAAACTTCTGCCAAAGAGCTGGCTCAGAAATGAGCCCCCAGACCTGCTTTTATTGCTGGGCCCTATTACAGGATAAAGCACCATCAAGGCATTGAGGAAAAGGAAAAAAAAAAAAAAAGCTGATGCAGAGGAGGAAAAAGAAATACAGACCCTGCTCCCCCGCCCCCTACAGCTTTTTTTTTTTACTGAGCATTGACCTCGCTCTTGCCACGTAGGTGCTTATTGCCGCTGAGCTACTGAAACAGGCAGGGTCTCATGGCGCTGAGCTACTGAAATGCCACTGTTGGTCATTCTGTCCCAATCGAATCCCGGGACAGCATACCTGAGACACCCCAGTCGGATGAACAACTGATTGCCACTGGTTCCCTCACCCAGAAGACGACAGTAAGAGTAACCCACAAAGGTCTTGGGAAGACGAAGCATGCACACGGCTTATGCGAGTGTTGGGGATGCAGGACTCAACGGATCAGGGCTTCTAATGTGGCCAGTATATGATTACACAGACTCATTTAGAATATATACACACACATGGATGTCAAGTTTGGGAAATTAACTTTTTTTATAATACTGACTGCATTGACTTCAGTCTTTTATATCTTCTATTTAAAAAAAACTTAAAGTAAAGCATACATTATTCAGCAAGCCACACAAAATATATGCATCCTTTAGGAATTCTCATAAGGAAAACACATATTACTATCACTCAATGGCAACTTTGCGTTGCTGTGACAGAACACCTGCAAAAAATCAGCTTGGAGGAGGAGAGATTAATTGAGGCTCAGCGTCACAGAGGTATCAGCCATGGTGAGCTGACTCAACTGCGTTAGGCCTGGAGCCAGGCAGAACTATCCCCGGAAGGCGGTGGGAAGGGAAAGCTGCTCCCTTGGCGGCGGCAGGGTGAGAAGGCTGGACAGAGGAGGGGTCAGTGACCAGCTGCCTTCCCCTGGGGCATGCCCGCACGATTCACCCCTTCCCCGGCTCCATCACCTCTCAACAATGCCACCAATCTACGATCCATCCACCCACAGGTGAAGCCACTGGTGAAATTGGAACCTTCGTGATCTAGCTCTGCCAGCCCATCAGCGGCAGTCAAGGCGTCCACACAACGAGCTTTTGGGGGGACATTTTAGGTAGCAAATGTAGCACCCAATAACTACCACCTTCCTGGCTACCCCAAGCGCTGCCCACGTCCTCCTGCGATCACTCCCTGCCCTGCCTCCATAACTGCCTCTGTCTGGACTTTTATAGCCACTTTCTAGTATTTCCTTATGGTTTTCTCATGTACACACCACTAGACACTGTAATTTCTCCTTCTCATCTTCAAGCTCTGGTGTGATTTACTCTACAGACACCCAGTCTCTTCCTGCCTTCCTTCCTTTGGTTGTCTGCTTTCTCCTTTCCTTTCTTCCTTTTTTTGGTTGTGGTGCTGGACTAACACTAGAGCCTGTGCATGCTGTGCAGGTGCGGTACCACCGGGCTACGCTCCCAGGCTTCTCTTTCTCTTCTTGACTGCTTGTCTGTTAAGGACTCCAGCCATCTGCCCTGTAAAATTTCTACCAGTCTGCATACTCATGGTGGAATGCAGGCATTCTCTGTATGTTAAACATTTATTAACTGGGAGGACTGCTAAACAAGGGACCATTCCCTCACCCATGCCTTAGTTACCCAGTGGAACATTCACATAGGAAAGCTCAGACAAATGCTTCCTTATGTTAGCCAACATGTTTCAAGACAGTGAAATGATCTCCCATCCCTATTCTAAAGATCACTAGTTCATCAGGTAGCTGTGTACTATTATTTGAAAGCTTTTGCTTTTATATTGCATAGACTGTGTGATGACTTACTAAAAATAACAGTGATGCAGATAATACTTGCTACCATTTCTTAAGGGTTTACTATGTGCTGAGCAATCTGCCAGGTACATTATATATGGCACTCCAGTTCTGCATGGTAAAGCTACTGATATATGTAAATTATCAACACTATTAACTCTGGTTAACTCCACTTCCCTGTCATCTAAAATACAATTTCACTTTAATTTATTTCTACTCACAGTTCAGTACCAATAGTCACAAACACCCGGCAGTTTACGTGACGTTAAGTCAACTGTGATGCACATGAACCAGGACCGATTTCTGTGACTTGCTAGTGGCCCACAGAGTCACTGCTCCTTTTCAGCAAGTGTGCTGGGCCTGTTCTCACCTCTTTAGTACATAAAGGGAATCCAGCCCTTTGAGATTAAAAATAAAAAATCATAGAGAAATTTAAGAAAGCTTAAAACTACACATTTAACCTCAGATTAGGTAAAAGGAGAAACGGGTCCTGAGCCTGAAGGGGGAGCGGGAGGCTCACTGGAGAGAGACCCTGATGTGGGCAGACGGGGACAGGTGACAGAAGATGGGAGTCCCAGCCATGCGGGAGTAAACCGACTAAAGCTACAGAGGCCATGAAGGTGAGAGGGTAGTGGCCTCTAAATGGAAGAAATGTCATAAACACAAAGTCACCGCCAGCTCAAAATACAAAGTGAAACGGGGTGACCTTTTAAAGGTTTTTTTTTGAGCGAATCATACTACTCCAAAATCTCATATTCTTATAGTCTGTCAGGCTTCAAAACCATAAAGGTGTCTCTTGACTTCAAAAGTCCTAAAAGGATCTCTACAGGACAAAAACATTCATTTAATTAGTGGTTCCAAAAGTGGGTAAACAGAATCCCCCGGCGTGATCTGATGACTGACACAAGCTCTTACTCCAGACGGGCAGAAAGGGGCCCTGTGGGTGAGATCTGGGCACCGCACGCTTCCCAGCAGCCCTAGTGATACAGCGCATAGCGGGGTTCGGAACTGAGTTAGGTGATTTCAGCAGGAAACACTCAATCTCCACGAGTAACTGCCATCTCTCCAGTTTACACCTTAGCCTCTCTTGTGTGCGATCTGTGACAGTGTCTGCCCTGCCAAATGTTACAAAGATCAGAAGAAGACTCCAAAGACACAGAGTCAGCAGAGCTGGAGAGACATCTGTTCTGCAGCCATTTCAGCTTCCTGCTTTCCTACAGGACGTCTGCGTCTCCTGACCAAGAGCTGGGAGCTTTTGGTACATTATTTAAGATGCATTGTATTCATTCTTGGCAAAGGTAAATGGGCTTCAAAAAATTGGTTAAGATTCTAAAAGCAGAATAGAATACCAGCAGCTCTGGAAGACACTGGACCAGTGGAACAGGCTGTGGAATGAGGAATTACACACCGGCCATCAGAATCTTTCTGAAATACTGAAAAACTTAACATTGGCAATATTCCACACTCACCCGAAATGTTTACTTCTAATACATTTTTCTTATGGCTCTAAATATTTCTTCATGAGCAGCCTAATCTGAACGTACTACACATCACACATTCTAATGGCAAAACACCACCGCCTGGACCCAAATTCTAGATTTCTAGTGTTAAGCTCCACTACCGTCCTTCAAGGCCTGCGCCTCCTTTCTGCGCCCCAGCAGCTGGAGACAGGGCAGTGTGAGCTGCGCGTGTGAGCGTGAGATCGCAGGGGCACACGTGTGTGTGATCGCTGCGCCTCTCCACAGGCTCCAGCGGGCGCAGCGTGGCCCTGCACGCCTCCAACCGTGACAGCTGGCCGGAGGACACCCCCACCCCGCAGGCGCACCTGCAGCCTGCTGCCCGGGACTGCTCGGCCTCAGCCCGCACGCCAGCCGACCCACCTGCGTGAGGACGTGCAGCTGCTCCATGATGTGCTCCAAGGCCTCGGTCACGGCCAGCGGCACGCTCCGCTGGCTCTCGCAGGGCGCGGCGCTCAGGGCCTCGGTTTTCTTCCCGGCGGCCGGGGGTGAGCAGCCCGGAGGTGTCAGGGAAGGCTGCGCGAAGCAGCCACACACGTCTTCGCCCTTGTCTGGCACAGTTCTAGCGGTGCTTTCCGTCGTCTTCGACGTCACCGAAAAGATAGGAAGACTGGTTTTCCAAACTTTAAAATGGTATTTACGGACAAGTTTTCAATATTCTGACTAAAAATTCCAGATTTGCGCGTATTTAACCTTAACTATAATAAGTTATGGAAACTAAAAACATAGAAGGGAACCAAGCTAACAGTGAACTGAGAAAATCCACAATTTTCCTTTTCACTGAAACATACTTTTCGTACCTCTGTCCGAGGAAGGGATTGTGAGACACGGTTTAATTCTTAATTTAAAAACAAACCAACACACTCAATAACTATTATCTAAAAAGTAGAAAATAACCAGTTTTGGCGAAAATGTGAAATTAAAACTCTTGGGGGAAGCTAAAAGTGCCATGGAAAACATCTCAGCCATTCCTCAGGAAAAATCAAAAGGAAAGGGAAAGAAAAGAAAAAAATGAGAAAAGAAGCAAAAAATGGAAACAAAACTTTCGTAAATAGAGAAAGGGTTGAAAGCAGTGGAGGAGAATGGGAAAAAGAATCGAGATATATCAAGTACCAGTACAAATTCCCTGTGATAAACGTGAACATTATGTATACCTCAAATGTGCTAACAAACTTAACAAACACTTGTACACCAGTATTCGAATTGGCTTTAATTCACAGTAGCCCAGATAAAAACTACCCAAGTTCTATCCACAGATAAATGTATAAACAAAATGCGAATAAATTTATAGTGGATATTACTCAGGGCCAGGTGTGGTGGTGCACACTTGTAAACCCAGAATTCAGGAGGCTGAGGCAGGAGGACTGCCAGGAGTTCAAGGCCAGCCTGGACTACATATTGAGGCCCTGTCTAAAAAAAAAAAAAAAAAGATATTATTCAGTCACAAGAGTGGAATCGCTATATATACAAAAGCATGGATAAACCTTGAAAACATAATGCTAAGCAAAATAAGTCATATACAAAAGAACGAACACTGTACGATTTCGTGTACATGAGGTGCTTAGAGCAGGCAAATGCATAGAGACGGCAATTAGAGTAGAGGTTTCTAGAAGCTGTCGGAAGGGGCAGGATGATGATGTACAGTCATTGCTTAATGGGTACAAAGTTTCTGTTTGGAACGATAACAAGATTCTGGAAATAGTGCTGATGCTTACACAACACCCATCAAAGTTTTCCGTCCACTGAAATTTTGGGATCAAAGGCACTGTTTTCCGCAGTCGTCTTTGCCGTTTTTGTTGTTGCTTTGGTTTTGATAGCGGGGATCAAACTCTAGACCTCACGCTTGCCAGGCAGGCGCTCATGCCACTGAGGTAAACCTTGGCTCTGGGCCACTTTTTAGGAATATGAAAAATTAGTTTCCTTCTGCGAGCCTTAGTAACTCACCGTTTGTTTAGATGTAATGAAAACAAATTCAAAGTCTGCTATTATTCCTCTTAGGAAGTGAGAACCAGAGCCTGGCACATGCTGGTGGGCAAGCGCTCCAGCACGGAGGAGGAGGAGGAGGAGGAGGAGGAGGAGGAGGAGGAGGAGGAGGAGGAGGGGGAGGCACAGCCCCAGCCCCGAACCTTCCCAGGGCCACATGGGGACAGAGCCGGCCTAGGCTCACGCTCTGCAGCCTCCAGCTGTTCGGCTCTTCTACATTCTTTCATGATTGTGTTTACTTATCTGACTGGTCACATTCACCCTGGGAAGCCATCCTGGTCTTTGAGGAGCCGTGCAGTACGCAGGCCCTACGCCAGCACAGCAGACTGACGCTTTCTCCTGTAACCCGTCAGAATTTGCCGGTGTGCATTTACCGCCTGCGTCCTGCGTGTCTTCTCCAGTAGACTGCACTACACTGCTCTCCTCCCACACATCCTCCGGAGCTGGCCTCAGCGCTGGTCCTTGGCAGGACCTTGAAAAATCTTTGCAAATGTCAACCACTTACATTTTTTACTGTTCTCATAGCTGGAAACCAAAATTCTCTGGAACCAAGAGAACTGTTTAGGTTTATGGTGTTGTTTAGGTACATATCATCAGGAGGCTGAGGCAGGAGGATTGCTACTTTCAGGCCAGCCTGGATAACTTAGACCCTGTCTCAAAGTTTAAAAGGGAAGCTATATATGAGGATATAGCTCAGTGTTTCCTGGATTCAGTCCCCAGGACTATGCACACACACACACCCACAAACCCACACTACAGTACACTTAGGTATGTACACACATGGCCCCAGATATTAGTGTCTTACTGCAATAACTTCCAGTTGCTCATGGGACAAGGTCCTAACTTAAATAGCAAAGCAGTCATTGAACTCTGGAGGTTTACAGTCAAGGAGGTTGTCTGGGATCAGAAAACAAATACATTACGCAGGACATATGGAGACGAATTTTTAAAAAATGGAATAGAATGCAAATACTAGATTATCATCCTGCAACACATACCCGCTTTTCCGTCTCTCACAAGTGCTAGAATCTACGCGTTAGCAGATTCTTTCCCACTAACCAACCCTGCCTTTGCATCTTGTTTGTACCAGGAAGAGTGAGAGGGGCAGCTGAGAGAAGTTCCAACGTGTTTATCCTCAAGTGATGTTTAAGATTCCGGGCTAACAAAAGTCTGGCAGTGAGTCTGTGTTACCTGCTGCTAGATTCACGCTTTTAGCGAACACATCATATAAACATCTACCAACTCGAGGATTCCCTGCTGGGAAGAGGGAACCATGGCAGGGCAGGGCCTCCCTCCTCCACGGTGCCAGGGACAGGTCTGGCACTGCAGAGTGAACAGGACAGGCAGACACGTGGCTGTTGGGCTGCGGAAGAACCAGTGTTCTGGCGGTTCATAAAAGGAACACATCACACCAAGTCCCTCTTTCTTATCTCTTACATCCACTGCTGATGCTTGAACAGCAGGGAGGAGTGATAACACACTCATGGATTTGTTTAGGAAGCGAGCACTTCCTGTGGTAACATCAGACATGGCTCCTTCTTCCACCGAGCTCTAATTCTCCAGAGAGCCACTCCACCCACAAGCAGCAGGGTAATCGCTTCTCCTCTGGATGAACCTGTGATCACTGTCTCAAACACTGGAAATGCGCCCTCATCAATTGGCACAGAATAACTCTGAATGGCAGAGAAATCCTTATCTTTACAGGTTAAAAGTTCCACTTTCCGCCTAAACAAATAAAATAGCGCAAAAATAGATCCGGCTGGCAACAGTTAGCAAATAACTCTGAAAATCACGTGTTGCAGATAAATTACTCTTAACCAGTTCTTTAAATATCATGATTAATTTTAATCCATAATCCCCACTTGTCACAACAGAGAATTCAATTCTTTTAAAAATAATAAGAGGGGCTGGGGATTTAGCTCAGCAGCATAAGCGCCTTGTCTTACAAGTGTGTGGTCGTGAGTTCCATCCCCAGTACCGATAAAAAAGAAAAAGACAAAAAAAAAAAAAAAATCAGCACATAGTAATTATACACCAATTATACAGGGGACAGGGTGACATGTCGGTACATGTATACAATGTGTGACAATCCGATCACAGCAATTCACATATCTATCTTGTTAAACAAGAATGAATTTTTTTAATGCATTGGTAAAAATGTGGAATTTTGGAAACACCAAACATATTTCTGTTAGGAAATTAACTGGTCAATAATATAATCAAGATCCAATCACGTATAGACAAAGCAATCCTGAGCAACAAGAGCAAAGCAGAAGGCACTTCAGACAATGGAGTACTACTCAGCCATAAAGAAGGATAAAATTGAGGCTTTTATAGGAAAGTAGATACACCATGAGGCCATAATACTATGTGAAAAACAACAGACACAGAAACAGGAAACAGAGAGGAAGGAGGGGAAGGGAAAGGGAAGTCAAAGGATAAGATGCAACGTGTAAATGTACCTCTTTTTCACTGTGAACATATTTTGCATCTCAAGCAAAAATATATTAGAAAGAAATTACTAGAAAGAAAAGACTCACACATAGAGAGTGGTGGGCCTTGGGGTGCAAGGGCCAAAGCCCAGAAGCCAGGTGAGGAAAGCGTTTCCAGGAGGAGGGGTCAGGAGTGACCCGGTGCTGCGGAAAGCTCATTATGAGTCCCAGGGACCGTGACCCTGGAGAGGGAGACAGCAGCTTGGCTCAGGAGCAGAGGCACAGAGTAAAGAAGCAGGGAGTGGGCCCAAGCGACTCTTAGAAGGAGTCTTACGATACGACAAAAGGGAGCAGAGTGATACGGAGCTGGACAGGGACGAAGGCCAAAGGCTTTGCTTTTAAAGATGCAGAACAAAATCACCCAAGTGCGCTGATGGCAAACACCAAGCGGAAAGAAAGCATGAACAGCACAAACCCGTGAGGGCATCACGCCTGCTAAGGGGGAGCCGGGTGGGGAGCGGCTGGGACGCCGGGGCTCTGTGTAAATAAACGGGAGGTGACCGGTCAGCATGGCTGTCCAGTCACATTTAGCCACTGTTTACAAATGTCCAAGTTTTAAATGAAAGCTGTATGTAAGTTAATTTATTCCATATTCTCTCAATGCTTACATTTGCCCTTTTTCTTTCCCATTTGGTGAGATGTAGCTTTCTGTTCAGCAGCTTTGTGTGGTCTTGACGTAACGTTAGCCTGGCTCCAGCTCCTCGCCGGGCCAATGCCCGCGTGGGCACCTGTGCCTTTCTCCTCTCCCTGTGGCACCCTTGCTTTGCCGTCTGCTCACCCTCACCGTATCCTCACATGCTCGATCTCCGCGTCCTCCCCACGGGTACAGGTCCCTGCACTTCTGCCTCGTCTCTTTGGGAAGGAGAGACACCATCTTCCTGAGGCTCTGGAAGGGGCACTTTGGTCTGAAGTCACTAAAGGACTCGTCACTTTGGCCACCGCGGCTTCCAAGCTCAGCTCCTTGGGTGTAAGCGTCAAGCAGCAGAGCAACGGACTGGACAAAGGCTGCTGTTTTTCTGGGTGAGGACAACAGGATGAATGGGACAAGGTCGCGGTGGTAATGATGGAGCGCACGCTTGCAGCTGAATAAAAGGGACAGGCACGGATGCAGGGAACGGGCGGCGAGGAGCCAAGACGCATGACGGATGGGAGGCCTCTGCTGGGCTGAAGAACCATCTAAGTGGGACGAGGAAGAGGTAGCCAGGGTACGAGGCTTTAAACTGAATTTACTGTCAGCACAAAGGACTCAGATGGTCACACGGTTCACTGGAGAATCCTGGCGAAGACAGGCTAATTTGGTTTTTCATAAGTGACTGAGCATTGTTATAGATTTGGTTCTTTGTTTTCCTAGCTAAGAGTCGGCGTGGACAGGAGCGGATGGACCAACCAAGGAAAGAGAAGAAAGAGCTACTGCGTCTCCAGATGGGGCTGTCACAGGATCACAGCACAGCCCAACAGCAACCAAGGGAAATTAACACGTGAGCACGAAAGGCAAGCTCGGGGCCACACTCACGGCCACACTCCCGTTTCCGAATGTCAGTAATCTTTGTCTGCTTATCAAATGGAAAACAACTGGCTTCTCAGAGGCTGCAGGCATGCTTTTAGGAGTCCAATGGGAGGTATAAAGTAACAAAGCACCTTCCTTCCTCTGCTTAAGAAATCCAGTGTACCCTACTCGGAGCTGTGTCCTTTGCTTTCTGGCTGAAGGGTTACCACTGTGTTGACTACGGTGACCGTCACTTGGTAACATGCAGCCCTTTAATTACACACGTAGACATTCCGAAGCAACAGTCTTGTTTTTGCCTGTAGTAAGACTTTACAAAAATAGCATTGTCCTGGCACCTTCTGGCATTTTCTGTTAACGAACGTGGTTAGATTTGTCCATGGTGATGTATGTAAGTCCCTTATTCACAGGGCGCACGGCTTCCACTGACTGTGCCACGGCTCCTCCATCCCTCCTACGCTAGGTGGCAATGACTGCCACGGGCAGCGTTCTTGTGCACAAGAATGAATTTTATCTCAAGTGGGGTAACTAAGTCACTATTTTAGAGTAGGGCTGCTCAAAATGGTGGGGTCGACTGGCTTTCTACCAGCAGAAGTCTCTCTTTTACCTACAAAGTCACCAATACTTGATTGATAGACACACTAGAATTCGTCAAAATTATAAGCAGAAAATCGTACCTCATGGCTTTAATTTCACTGTTTCTTCGATTCCTGGTAACCTGGGTGTGTTCTGTATGTACACTGAAGGTTTTCTGCACATAGCCTACTTAAATCTCTTGCTACTTTTCGACTGGTCTACTTCTTGTTTTTTCTAATTTATATCCAAAAGTTCTCTATTCTGGATACTGATATTTTGTTCTTTACATGCATGACACATTTCCTGTGGTTTGTCTTCACTCTTATTCTGTGAGTTTTTCTGATTTCCAAAATTTATTTGTAATGTAACCAAGTGTACCAAAATTTCCTTTGAGTTGTGTATTTTATTTTTATCAAAGAAATCATTTAATGAAAACCTATACGGAATAAACATATTATGTAAAACCTACAAATATATTAATAAAAACCTACACTGAACACATAAATATATTCTTCTGTTTTCTTTTAGAGGCTTTAAAGTATTGGTTTCACACCAACTCTCTAACCCTTCTGGTACTGACTGTGGTCAGTGGAAGATGACCATATCTCATTCTCTCAGATAGCTACTAACTCTAGCAACAGTTGTGGGCTAGTCCACTTAGCAACTACTCAGCTTACAGATCCACAAAGCCAAGTGTTTCATACAGTGGCTACCCACACTGTGTCGGTGTGTTTTCAATATGATTTGTTTTGTTTTTCCCTGTAGTAGTATGGCTTGGACCTTACTGAGTCTTTAGTCCTGATGTAATTATCTAGTTATTTTTGGTCTTTTATCTATATTAATTTTTATAATTAATTTTTAAGTTTCATTGAAAATCTTAACTCAGTTGAAATTGAGATTGTCTCAAATTTGGAGACTTGAAGAAAAATGAAATCTTTATGATACTGAGTCTATCTACAAACAGAGTAATCCAAAAAATATTGACCACTTTATACCTTTCATGTTTATCCTAACATGAGGTCTTGCTAGTATTCTCTGAATCATTTCAATTTAATACATATGCTGTAAAGCACACACACCATGACCACCACCACTGTGGTATCCCAACAATATGCTGTATATAGAAAGTCAACCAAATGAACAGTTCAAGCTATGTCCTCATTTTTATGACACATAAAGTCAACACACAATCAGAAGCATTATCTAGAATACATTTTAAAAAACCGTTTGCCAGGCTTGCACGTTCTCTGAGTTAAATGATACTATTCCTTAGCCTTTTGTGCAGGATTTTTTTGTTCCATAAGGCTTCAATTTCCTTACTGTGTTTCAGACTGTGAAGAGGTGATTTTTAAGGCAGGAATTCATTCATTTAACAAAGATGCACTCAAAATCTTTTGAAGGACAAATATTATATTTATTCTATTCATTATTCAGCATAATGTGAATGTCCCAGTAGGATTAATAACCGTGTGTTTATAGGATAACAGTAATGTTTATTCATAGCTAGGCATTGAGAATCATTCTTCTATTTATTATTCATTAATTAATTAAAAAGCCAGATAGTGAAAGGCTCTTATGTGGACTCTGTATACAAGGCATGTATTATATTAGTTGATTTTAATTTGCATTTGCAAAACAATAATCTTTCCTCATCTTCTCTAAACAGATGCAGTTTGCCCCTCCTCCACACTCTACAATAATTCAATTTTGCTTCTCACAACAAACACTAATGTTTGCTTGTATTTCTGCTATTGTGGTATCACATAATTATCTCTGATATCACATAATATGGTGCTTACACAAATGGGACACAAAGTTACCTGGACTTGGTTTTAATCTTTTTTCCTCTGCATTAACCTTACAACTTCTCTAAGCCTTACTCCTCTGTGAAATGGAGATAATATGAGCGATATTAAATGGCTGTTTTAAGACCAGAGGTAAAGATCTGATCTGTGGTTCATATTAAATTACTTACCATCGTCGGGGTCATTCTTACACTGAATTCAAAACTGTACCCTATTAGATGGCAGAGCCAGACCTCACCTCCTTCCACACAGCTGACCTGCTAAGTACCTCCTGTGAAGGTGTTCAGCACAATTAGTAAAATTTCCTGAATTAAAGATATTTCTCTATTCACTGTCTTTCAATTTCTCTTTCCTATCCCTATGTCCAGTTTCTCAAGTTAAGTGATAAACTCTCTAAAGGCAAGCTGGAGTTCAATAAATAAATGAATGAGCCACACTAAATGAATTTTAACCAAGTCATAAATCAATAGTATATGGTGAGTTTATTTAAAGTAAAAAATTACTGTTTGATTTCCCCATTAACATATTTTAAACAATAGTTTTAAAAACAAAAAAGTTTCTAGTTTTAGACAGCTGACTGAAAAAATATATACAGTATTTATTAAAAATAAAAATATTCAGCAGGCAAAATTCTGATAACTATGTAAACTTTTTGGTCCCATCATATTGTGGATAAAAAAGGATTTACTAACAACACAGGAAACCAATCTACAATCAAGCAATTAGATCCATGAACGTCACCGCTTTTTAATGAAAACTAAAGATTATACACATCTCAAAAACGATAGCATAAATGGCTCTAGAAAGAATAGCTCTTTTTTTTTTCTCTGATTCTCCTGGCTTAGCCTCTGGATACTGGGACTGCAGGAATGCACCCACCTGGCTGAGGACAGAATTCTTAAGTGGCTTACGAGTGAGTAGAGCAGCAGCAAAAATGCTTCATCATAAATAACTGAAAATAAGATACTATCATAATACTATGCTCTTTGATAAAGATAGCATATTTTACCTCCATATATTTTGTGTATAAAAAGGCTGCAGGTGGCTTTCTCTTATTTTGCTAGTAAGAGAAATTCAAAGGCCAAAAGACAATAAAAATAATGACTCTGCTTATAAAAAGTACTTTTCCTCAATTACCATGTGAAAAAAATAACACAGTAAAAATAACATTTGAATAGTGACATAAAACAAAGAACTCTTTCACAGATGTCTTTAGTCAAGAGAGTAACTTGAAAGTCATTGCAACATGACAGTTTCTCTTTGCTTTCACACTTGTACACACACTTGTGCAAACACACGCACAGATAAGTAAGCAGGAAGTTCATGCAGTGGAACTCACGATACCCAGAAAACATATTCCCTATGCACAGCTATTAAACAAAATGTTTTTTCTTTTCTATTTTGTATTTCAGTTCCAGAATTTACCGAACAACCAACAGTATCCAGACAAACAGCTCTTAATGATCCTCCCTGATGAATGGGATGCAGGTGATGCAGAAGGCCTGCTTATTATAATCTTTATCACTTTACCATAGAACCACCATTTAGGGATCACACTTTTAGGCCTTGTAGCCTGACAGATCAATTAAATATTCGCAGGCCTATATTTCTAGACTGAACGGCCTGTGCCTTCCTGTCTTGATAAACAGTGCCCTTATCCAGCACCAGATCTGCACTTGGGGGAGCTACTCTGCCCGCCTCCACCTATGTCCCATCAGAAAACGGCGCTTAGGACTCTCTCTCCAGCACCTCCGGGCCTTCCCTTCCTCTCTCCCTGTGTCATCACTGGATTGCTTCTGCCACTGCCTCCTAGTGATCCATCCCTCCATACCCTTCTTCCCTCAGCCCCTCCTGTTTCACTAATCGTTCTGAAACTCGAATTCTGGCTTGAAACACTTCACAGGTTTCCCCAAAGTTCTTTTCAGGTATCTTAAAATGACATTTAAGGTTTTCACAATTTATTCCCATCTCTGTCCCTCAAGTCCACCCTCTGCTGTGGCCAACAGTAAAACGTCCCCTTCTCTGAATTCATTGCCCTCTCAAGTGCCTTACCATTGCACTTGCTAACTCTGTCCTGTTTCCCGTATTACTATGTAAACTCTTCAAAGAATCAGCTTTAGTACCACTGACTTCTAGGCGCTCTCTGATTGATTTTTCTGACCTCCACCCTAATTCTCCAGGGCTCAGGCAGGCACTCCCACCCCATGCACAACCGCCACACATTCTCTTTACCTAACTACTCTGCTAATGACTCGCAGCAATTTAGGCATGGAGCACTACGATTAGCCTAAGGCTTTCTTTTGTACTTTTCTACAACAAATGTACCGAATAAAAGAACAACTCTTCTAGCTGACTGCTTTGCTCATAGCTCTCCTCTACTCCCTCATCAACCCACTTCGTCTTGGCGTCTGCTGGTATCACACCATCAAGAGAGCTCTTCAGAAGGTTACCAATAATCTCTACTGCACTCAGCAGTTCCCAACCGCTCTCTGCCGTTTCCCTCTTCCTGGGGCTGCCAGGACACCACAATCTCTGACTTCTTCGGTTCCTCCCAGCCCTCCTCAGTCTCCTTTACAGGCTTATCTTCTTTCATCAGACTACCTTGTTGAAGTTCCTCAAGGCCTGTCCTAACCTTAAAAAGCTTTTCTTAAATTAGCAGACTTATTCTTAGTTGCTAGCTGGTAGCTGTACATAGGGCTCAGTACAGCGCACATTTCAGTGTATGTACACGGCATGCAATGGTCAGGTCAGGGTAACTGCACCTGTCACCCCAGACATGTGTCCTTCTTTGTGTTGCTAACCTGTTTCCCTCTGTATTCTCAGGCAATCTTATTTAAGCCTGCTGGTTCACTTACCGATACGTGTACAACAGTCACACATACTTGTTTCCACTCTAGATCTTCCTTTTAATCTCCTTATCTGTGTACACTGTTGGAAATCTGCCAGGTACTCTGGGATGCTTAAAAGACACCTCAGATGCAAATGTCCACCTTGGAACTGGTCACCGAAAACTTGGTCCTTTTAGAAATTCCTCCCTCCGTGAATGGGCTTGTATAAGCCTGATATTCAGAAATTACCCTTGATGACACCCTTCCTCCTCAACTTATTACAAAATTTTGTCAATTATACCACTAATATGTTACCCAGATGCATCCCATTCTCTCGACCTCCTCTAAAATGACCCTGGTTCCAGTTATCTGCAGTGTTTGTCTGGGTTACTGATTTATATTCTTAGTTGGTTTCCATGTGTCTATTCAGATGACAGAAAGATTATTTTCAATCCGCAAAGGACAAAATAGGAAAAAGGGGTGGTGCATGTCTATAATCCCAGAACTCTAGAAGGCTGAGGCAGCAGAGGCACAAGTGAGATCCTTTCTCACAATTTTAAAAAGTGAAAAACGGGTTGGAAATGTAGCCCTGTGGGAAGGTCCAGAGTTCGGACTCCGGCACCGCGCGCGCACACACACACACACACACACTCCACACACCACACACACACACACACACAAGCACGCGTGTGCCTCACTCTTTCCAGCACTTCCAACCT